GCCAACAGTTTCGTAGCATTTATGAGAAGAAGTGTTTTCAAATAGTCCATGTATTGGAGAGAGACACTCAACATTTCATGAGGAAGTGTTTTTCCTTGCAAATAAGGAAGTCTTTTTTATTGCAATATTCCATGTTGAAATTTAAACAACTTATTCATGTTAGGTGTAAGTCATGGCTAATTTTTATATATACATATATATGAAAATATACATATGTTTAATTATTTTTTTAAAATATACATTATTTTACAAAATATAAATTTTACTTTTTTTGTGTGTTTGTGTGGCAGGGCCTCACACATGTTAGTGCTCCAAAACTCAGCTACATGCCCAGCACAATAAGCAATTTCATTTAGTACCATTTTGGGTAAATGAATTCTTACATTTTCAGAGACAAAGGAATAATGTTCTGGATCAGCTTTGTATCATATGAAAAAAAAAAAACCCACTGATTTGGGAGTCCTAAAGATCATCTAGTCCACCTGCTATTCCACCTTTTACAAACTGAATTATATACACTCAGATACACAGGATGCCTTACATACAAAAATAATGGCAGAACTGGGCCTCAAGCTCATTTCTGGACTTCTAGTTCTTTCTGCCACTCAGCTTGCCTTCTTGGATTATCACTTTATGTATGATAGACTGTGAGTGGTAATTTAGAGATTTCAGATTTAACCTGTGCATTTTCTTTACATAGTATTTAGTTCTAGCACACCATTTGCCCAGTACTGAACCTGGGCCATGTAAACATGACGTATTGGTAGAAGGGTTGATTAGAGAAGAGTTTGATGGGCATAAAATTAGTAACTCTTTAATGATGGGTTATTAAAAGTGCCTCTTCTTTCAGCTCTTTAAAAAAGAGTTTAAGGGCTTTAAGGAAATATAAAGACTTTGAACCTGTGTTAGTCAGCTTTCCGTCACTAAAGCAAATCCCTGAAGGGCTGGGGGTGTAGCTCAGAGGTAAGGCACGTGCTTAGCACATGAGATGTGAGAGACACTGGGTTCCATCCTCAGCACCAAAAATGCAAAATCAAACCAAAACAACCCCAAAAAACCAACAAAACCAAACCAAACCACAGGTACCTGAGATAATCGACTTAGAAAAGATTTATTTGAGGTTTCAGTCTATGGTCAAGTGGCCCCAGTGCTCTGGCCCTGTGGGGATGTGGCACATCATTTCAGAATCATGTGGGGGAGCCAAACCGTTCACCTC